TGAGGGCTACCTCTACTGGATGGTCTTTGTCTGCGATGCATCGCGCTTCTGGGCTGTGGCCTATCTCAAGCGCAAGAGCGACGCGTTTGCAGCCCTCAAGTCATACAAGGCCTATGCTGAGAACGCCCTGGGCCTGCGCATCAAGGCCACTCGAGACGACAAGGGAGGCGAGTACATGGGCCAGGAATTCATCGATTTCTGCGCAGAACACGGCATCCATCGTCAGCACACAGAGACAGACGAGCCGCACCAGAATGGGGTGGCAGAGCGAGCCAACAGGACGATTTCTGAGGGTGCTACCGCCCTCCTAGCGCAATCCAAGCTCCCTCCTTCGTTCTGGGTGCACGCCGTCTCTACCTTTGTCCACACGCGAAATCGCATGCCCACATCTGCTCTAGACGGCGGCATACCCTACACAGCATGGAAGGGCAATGGGAGGAAGCCAGATGTGTCCCACTTTCGAGTCTTTGGCTCCCTGGCCTATGTTCTGGTGCGCAAGAAGGATCGCAAAGTGCTGCAGTCTCACACTCGCAAGTGCATCTTCATTGGCTACCCAGATGGCACCAAGGCCTGGCGATTTTGGGACCCTGCAGCGAGGAAGGTGCTCATCTCGTCGCATGCAGTGTTTGATGAGAGCTGCTTCCCTGGAAACTCGCCCTTCATCAATGTATTTGGCCTGCCCCTGGACGATGTGGATGTCCCTGGTGCACCAGACGACGAGGATGCGGACTCTGCGCCCCAGGACAATGTCCCAGATGTGCCAGAGCTGCAGGATCAGGGGGGAGACGACGACTATGATGCTCCTGCACCTCCTGCACCACCAGCTCCACCTGCGCCTCCTGTGCCTCAAACTCCGCCTCCTGCACCTCAAATTCCGCCTCCTGCGCCCCAACTTCCGCCTCCTGCACCTCAAATTGCGCCTCCTGACATCGCTCCATCGCGCTCTCCATCTCCTGACGTTTCAGAGCCCCAGTCGCGCTCTCAGAGTCCACCAGCACCTCCACAACTCCCTCCTGCACCAGCCGCTCCACAGGCTCCTCAGCCACCGCCCCCTGCGCCCATAGCTCGTCCCCCTGCACCGTCTATCCATCAGCCAGCCCAGGGTCAAGGCGGCTTCAGACCTTACCCAGCACTCGCTCGAAAGCAGCTCCCAGCTCGCTCTACTCGCTACCAGGGTTCCCTCAATGACAGGGACCTTGAACGCCAGAACCTTGTTGCTCCTCGCCATCGCATTCGCTCTGTGTCCCCTGCTCCAGCTCCAGCTCCAGAACCTCGAAAGAATTCGCCTTCTCCAGATCCTCTAATCGACGCACCAGTCGACCCAGCTCCTGCTCGCAGACTCGCCCCTCGCTCTACCACCCCTCCTCCAAGTCCCACATCCTCAGACAATGAATTGGACTGCATAGGAAGCGACGATGCGGACGCTCTGCAGGCCATGCTGGCAGGCATTGAGTACGTCTACTCTGCCCAAGTCGACGATTTCCTGCCCTACGACGATGCCCTGGAGTTCGCATTCGAGTCAGTGGTCCAGCACGCGTTCAAGGCGGACCAGGAGCACTTTGGAGAGCCCAAGTCGATTGCTGAGGTCATGCAGCTCGCTCCAGATGAGTGCAGCAAGTGGCTCAAGGCTGCTCAGGACGAAATCCAGTCACTGGTCGAGAATGGCACCTTTGAACTCGTCCAGCTGCCCCCAGGACGCAGGGCCATTGGCTGCAGATG